CCAATGCACGGTCCCTCCTTGTTAATAAATGTTTTTTTAAAAATAAAAATAAAGTAGAAGCTTTTAAAAGCAAGCTTCCCTCAGCACATGCGCAGTCTGCTGCGCCGGCAGGTGTGACATCATCGTCCGAACTGCCGCGGGGGCGGCGACTCAAAGCTAAAAAGACAATAAATTTTCTGGTTCACGGATCATTGTTTCAGAAGAATAATGGCAGGGGCAGTCAATATCCTCAGTTTTTATCCTTGAATGCATTAAATCTGGAAAGATTTTCAGTCCTGCAGGTGAGGTTCTCTGGAAGTTGAGTTATGGCAACTGGATTTCTTTCTTTTTAGGTTGAAACCTTTCGCTACTCCTCCAAGCAGCTTCTTCACCTAAAACATTTCAACCCAATAAGAAAGACTTCCAGATAATTTGAATGCATTCAGCTACAGAGAAGGAAGGTACAGTACTGTCTTTTAATGATGCCAAACATCCTTGCATACTCATTGTTTCCAAATTTAAATAGTGTCTTTCAATCATGTAAGACTGGGCAAAAATATTTTAAATTAATTAATAAATAAACTCCCAGAAACCTTTACCACTAGTATACTGGGCAGGGTTTCTGGGAGATTAAGTCCAAGAACATTTGGGGATCCAATCACTAGATTCTCCAACCGAGAAACTTCTCTTCTTCTTTTCCCATTTATTTCCCCCCCCCATGATCAGCTGGAACCAACGGTACTTCCATTTTTTTTAATTAAATGACTGGAATATTCCAACTTTCCGCATTCAGTGTTTATTGTTGGTTTAATTCTTGGGCCACTAGCCTCCTTCAACATGTATTGCAGAAGCTGCCACCGCCAGCTTGACGAAGTCACATAATTACCCTGTTTCCCTGAAAATAAGCCCTTGTAGGATTTTTTCAGGATGCTCGTAATATAAGCCCTGCCCCCAAAATAAGCCCCAGTTAAGTGAAACCCCACCGTCCGCCATTGTGTAGCAACCAGAAGATGACAGGACTCTAATTGAATAATTGTAGATGGTTGTACATGAAAAAAATAAAACATCCCCTGAAAATAAGCCCTAATGCTTTTTCTTTGGAGCAAAAATTAATATAAGACCCTGTCTTATTTTCGGGGAAACACAGTAGACACAGGACTGCATGGATCACTTGGCCCCTTGTGTGTAAATAGTGACTAGAATCGTGGCCTTGGTCTTTATTCATCCCCCCCTAGCACATTTTTGACAAAACCTCTCTTGGTTCAGGAAATTCTTCGCATCCCAGGCAAAATCCACCTTCCGAATTCCTCTCTCTTGTTAAGAGCCGCATTTCCAGACCATGCATTAGAACAGAGAATACAAGGCACCATACCCATGGACCTTGCCAGAGCCGGTTTTAAGTTTTTGTTGCATATGACATTCTTCGTCTTAAAGAAACAGCTCCGGGCCATCTCTGGGCTTGCAGAGCGATGATGGCACTGTGCTTTCCGACACCCTTTCTTTAGTCTCCTGCAATCGCATGTCAGCACGGCCCGGCCCGCTTATTGCTGACCTAGCACTCCAGCTCCTCTTGGAAATGCCTGGTTTAAGGCAGTGTCAAAAAAGAGAGAAAGATAGCAAGTGGGGCCCCCAAATGGAGATGTCAGAGGAGGGCCACACAAAATGCAGCCTATGGTCCCCCAAAGCCAGACTTCCAATTTTGATTCGGATGTTTTTCACATTTTCCTTTGAAAAAAAGGGCGTTAAGAGTTTTAGATCTCTGCCCTTTTCATCTTGCTGCTGGTTTTCATTTAGCTTTGTATCCTTTCATGTCTTTGTTTTTATTTTTGGCTTTATAGTCTCCTGCCTGCCATCATTGTTATTGTTGTGTTTTATATGTTACTGTATTGTATATTTCCTAGAGGGCTTGGGTTGTGGATCAATGTAAAAGCAAAATAAACAAGAAAATGCATTTAATTGAAGATTGTTTTTTTAAAAATTTAAAATCTGAAAGCTGTTGGCTAGAAAAGCAAATGTCCAAAAAACAAAACTGAATTAATAAACACCCCCCTACCTACACTGTGGATTTAAAAGAGCACATTAAAAACAGATGTAGTCAATGATGTTGATCCCTTTGTATGAGCAAGTGGTCACTCCTTTCCTTTCGAGTTTAGATTCTAGTCCACACTTAAGCCACGAAACTCACTGGGTGACCTTCGCACACTCATTTTATTTATTTTATTTATTTATTCAATTTTTACCCCGCCTCTCTAGACATTGTTTACTCGGGGCGGCTTACATAGATAAATGCACTTCAAATTGACACATATAAAAATACAATAATAACAATTAATTCAAAAACAGCGCGTTTCCAAGATGGCATTGCTCAACAAAAGAGAAGAAAAGGGAAAGAAAAAAAAATTAATTGACTGGAAGGAAGGCCTGTTTAAATAACCAAGTTTTCAACTGGTTTTTGAAAACACCCAGCGAGGGTGCCAGCTGTATTTCAGTAGGAAAAGGGTTCCACAGCCGAGGGGCCACCACCGAGAAGGCCTGGTTTCTTGTTTTTTTCTTGTTTTTTCATTTTTTTTTTCTCTCTCTCTACTTGGTCTACCTGCCAGGGTTATTGTGAAGTGGGCGAGCGGTGGGAAAATTCATACACAAGGCTCTGAGGATCTTAACTGGAATGGAGGAATGTAAAGGTAGTAGATAAATGGTCCACCCCTTCCCTTTTGACTTTTAAGAGGCTGCTAAAAACGGTTATTTTCGAAGCGGCTTTTCCTGGCATCCTCTGATGATTGTCAGATTTGGTGCCTGTCTTTTATTTGACACTCTTGGAGTGCTCGTTTCTTGCTGTCTATGGGTTTGTTTTTGTTTTTATTATTTCATCTATTTTTTTAAAACTTTTTCCCTGGTTGTACTTTGTATTTGTTTACTATTTTCTGGCAAGGCCCAGAGTAAGGCGTTGCATGTATTGGGTGGTATACAAGCTGAAGAAATTAATGTAATCACCCACCCACCTTCACAGACACACATGGATAACTTGACTGAACTTGTTTTTGGTGGATCTAAGTGCGCATAAACTGGGATCCATCGATCGCTCATAATAATAATAATAATGTGTCCCGAGGTCAGTTTGGACTTTGGGCAACCTCTTCCCTGGGGTTTATAGGTACAGAGTCTCCAGAAGTGGTTCTCATGCCCTTCTTCTTGGGGATGGGGTGGGGCTGTGCCACCTGTCCCAGGCCACCCCGGCTGGCTCTTCTGGGACGCACCGCCGGAATCGAACTCCCAACCTCTCCCTAATAATTAATGTAATCACCCACCCACCTTCACAAACACACATGGATAACTTGAATGAACTTGTTTTCGGTGGATCGAAGT